GTGGTGGTGGTTGGCTGGCAAAGGGAGTCTTCCGTCCCCAGAAAGGACCCAGACCCACCTTCTAGAACCGGAGGCCTGAGCACTCCAGGAATGCTGACCTCCACCAAGGCCCCATAGGCTCCACAGCTCTCTGCTGACCTTTTTCGGGCCCCTGTGACATCCTGAGCCTATCCTTCCAGCAAGCTCTAGCTCTTGCCCAGGATTCTCACATATATTGGTTTTGTTTTCTCTACCTGTCCATCAGATGTCTTAATCCAGAAATAATTTCATGGAGCTTATGAAAGATGAAATAAGATAACAAATAAAAAATTGGGCCAAAGAGAAAATGAGGGCAGGAAGGCGAGGTCAGGAAGGCGGGTGGCATTCAAAATGCCTGCTGTGCTGGTCAGAGGCGCCCATGGAGTGGCAATTTTGTCTTCCAGACTGCCAGCTCCTACAGCTCAAGGGTGGTCATGTTCTCTGGGAATAGGGAACCCTGTGGACATGGCTTTAGGGACCCACAAACACCACACGCCGAGGAATCCTCCAATGTGCCACCAAAATGACTGGTACTTCTGAGAGGGAAATTTCAGACAAAAAAATCCGACACTCATATGAGGTTTCTGTGTCACTGCACCAGAGCCAGGCCGGAGGAGGAAGAAAACAGCATGTGACAGTCTCAAAAGTATTTCCTCAAACACAACAGATTGGGGGCTAAGAGTATGATCGACTTAATTACTGGGATGTGAGATCAGGGTGAAGGGCAGGATAAGGAGAGGTCCTGCACTTGCCCTTCCGATCTTAACAAAGAGAGCTCTGGGCTGCGAGGCACAGGTGGGAGTTCTGGAACCTGTTCCCGGCCTCTAGCCGCAAGGCTTTGGGAAGTGGTTTCACTCTCTGGGCCTCAGTTTACTCACTGGTAACATGAGGAGATTATACCGAAAGGGCTACAGCTTTCCCTGAGCCCTACCATTGCCTGAGGCCATGTCCTTCTGGTCCCGGAGTCCAGGAGGCCTCCCTTGAGGAGCCCCGAAACCGACGTATGGGTGCTATGGGTCTACCTTATCTGTTTTATCCCCTCCTTACCCACTCTACTTACAACCCAACCACCTGAGCCCCAGAGTTGGAATAGTGGTCTTTGTACGGAATAATAACCACCCACGAGGGTCTCTACACGTCGACATGTTTGCAAGGGGGACATGTAAACTGGGGCTCAGAGAGGTTAGGTGACTTGCCCAAGGCCATCGAGCCAGTCACAGGCAAAGCGAGGACTAAGCCTGGTTTGCTGGACTCTAAAGCCCGTGTAATTTTCATCCTGTGGCACTGCAGTTAGCTTTAGCAGGCTGGAGGGTATGCAGTTTATAACCCTCTCTCCCTGGTCGGGCTGTAGCGACCCGTTCTGGACACTCTTCACGTGAAGACCAATGCTAGTCATCAGCAGGGAACCTATCCAGGCTCCTTCCCTGGGGAGGTAAGGGAACGGGTGAGGGTTTCCTCTGGGATCTCACAGCTGCTTGCCCACAGAAGCAGCGAGGTGGGGGGCTCGGGCTTTGAAGGGTGCCAGGAGCAGCATTTCGGCTTCAGGAGCTGATTGGGGAAGAGCTCTGACTTGTCTGTGCTGCCTGAGTGTGGGTGTGGGGCTGGGCTCTAGGACGGAAGCTGGTCCCAGATCCATAGCACCCATTCGCAGGTGGACGAAAGGAGAGAAGGCAGCAGAGAGGCTGGGAGAAGCCCTGACTTGGAGCTCCCCAGAATGACTCCGTGGGGAGGGCGGGGGTGAGCCAGCCTTCCTCAGGAATAGTTCCTCTCCAAGGTGACCTTACCTGAGCCCTTGGCCAGGGAGGAGGAGCTGGGCTGAGCACAGCAGAGGTGATGCTGCCAGGGACAGATCCCTGCCCCTCCTCCTGCATCTGTGACCCGGGCTCTAGAGGCCAAGGCCAGGAGTAGGATGAGGAAAGAGAGGCTCCTGGGGAGCAAAACTTCAGGAGGCCCTCGCTCTCAAGGCTATGCCAGGGCAGGGTTGGCAGCTGTGTGATGCTGGCAGCGACAGCTTCCTTAAATTTTGTCCCTTAGACTCCTCACTGGCTGCTGGTTGATGAAGGACGGGAATGGCAAGGCTGAGCGGCCTGCTTGCATTCTGCCCAACTCACCTTTGCTCTCGACCCTGGCACGGACCACAGCCTGGCTGGTACTTACCTCAAGGAAAGCAGCAGTTCTTATAAGCCCCGTGGTTCTCTCAAATGCCCTTCAGCATTAATAGGGTAGTATCTGATCCCAGAACATGCAGGAGGGAAGAACGGGCCTTCCCTGTGACACTCCCCTCACCCCCAGGCATGAACCTCCTTCTCCCTTCCCCTCGTAGGCTGGGGGCTGGTACCACGTGGCCTCTGGGCCTCTTAAGTGGCCAGAAAGTGAGGCACCAGAGTGTGCTGGAGGAGTTCATGCAGAACTGGCCATGGGCCTGCCCTCTGGTGTCTAGGGGTCCCTATGCCGTGGTGGGACCTGCTTCCCTCCACATGGCTCCCTGGGCCCGCAAACCTAAGCCCACCTACCGACGTGCCTACCTCGTGCCATCCTCCCTGGTGCAAGAGAAAAACAAAGATTCAATTACCGGTACCTTTTCTTTCAGCCTCCGCCGTAGCCTGTCTTTGGAAGACTGGAGCAGGGTAATTTTGGGCCGCTCCCCCATGCGTTCGGGGGTACTACTGTCTTTACGCTTTGTCTCGGCCTCTGGGACCCCTGGCTGCTGTGTGGGCGGCCGCTCGGAAGCCACTGGGGCCGGGCCGTCCGGGCTGCGGGGGGACTCGAGGACGCTGTGCCCGGCGTCCCCCAGGGCGTTCTCGAGTTTAGGGCTCTCCATGGTCACGGTCTCTTTGGCATTGCGGTGGGTGCCTGCCTCCCCCTTGTCACCAGGTGGGTGCTTCATGTTGCTGTGGTGCCAGCGCCGGTTCTGGCTGTAGCCGTGATGGGTGGGCCTCCCCGAGGGGTGGGGTGCTGAGCCCCCCTGGTAGGATTTCTGGTGGTCCCTGTTGTGTTTGGCACTGCCCGGCTGGTGGTCACTGTGCTGTTGGGGCTTGTTCCCTCCTGGAGGTCTCTGCTGCCGTCTGCGAACCAGAGGGGAAGGACAGAGAGAGTCACTGGGTGGGCTGCTCAGGGTCCCTGCACCCAAACACTAGAAGAAGAATTCATTGAGTCGTTCATTTATTCATTCATTCCGCACCTTTACTGAGTGTGCTGTGTGCCAGGCTCTGTGATAGGGCCTGGGGATACAGCAGAGAAAGACAGACAGGTCCCTGTGATTATAGAGGATTTAAGTCAATCTTTGATTTAAAATAAGTATTTTATTTCCTTATTGTAATACGCATTAATACGTGTTGGAGAACAAAATTACAACAATACAATATAGTATGCAGTGAACCTTCCTGACGCTGTCCCCAGCCACCCACTATATTCTCTTGAAGAAACTTACCATTTTATGAATCTCCTGAACGTATTTTATGCATGTTCCAGCAATGATAAATACACAGACCTGTATCCGATAACAACTATCTTGTTAATGGCTTTTTTTTTTTTTTTTACCATAATGGCTCTTATATCGTGTTAAACTTTTTTTTTCTGATACATTGACATTTCATCTCCAATCCTATTAACGAAATGTGCTATAAGAAATTGTTATGGGCTGAATTGGGTCCTCCTCCCTGCCCGCCACCAATTCATGTGCTGAAGCCCCAAACCCCCAGTACCTCAGAAAGTGACTGACTGTATTTGGAGACAGGGCCTTTCCAAAGGTGACTAAGTTAAAATGAGGCTGTTAGGGTGGGGTCCAATTAATATGACTGGTGTCTTTATAAGAGGAGATTAGGACACAGACAAGGCCATGCACAGAAGAAAGACCACGTGAAGACACAGCAAGAAGGCCGCCATCTATCTGCAAGGCCAGGGGAAAGGCCTCAGGAGAAGCCAACCTGCTGACACCTTGATCTTGGACTTCTAGCCCCTCGGAACTTTGAGAAGATAAATTTCTGTTGTTAAGCCACCCAGTCTTGTGGCATAGTGTTACGGCGACCCAAGCCGACTAATATAGAAGTGATATCTAACGTGATGGTTTTAGGCAAAGACAGGCTCACCGATTTACCTGACACAACACTGTCTAATTAGTGGATATCATATAGAACAAGTCTGAGATGTGTGCCATGGGACAAACCAAATATTTTGATCTGTAGACTGAAAGCAAGAGAGTTGGGGGCCAGGGGGCATGTTGAGAAGCCTTCAGTCTTGTGCACAAGGACCGCTTCTATCACTGGAAGCTCTGTGTTCCGTCTCTATTTCCCCCTCACGGTGTTTTCTGTGCCATAACTTTATTTGAAGTACAATTGGAAAACAGGATAACCATGAGCCCCTCTGAAGTTGTATAAAGTCAGTGAAGAAAGTTTGCAGAAAGAAGACCACCTTCTAAATATGAGGCCCTCGCCGTCCTGTGAGCCATCTCTTCGGGGGTACAACAGATTCACCTTGCGGTACAGTTTACAAACAAATTGTATTTGTTTTTTTCAAATTATTATTACTTACATAAACTCAACTTCAGTGTTCACTCTATAATTTTGTATCTGTGAAAATGTGGGAGTGTCTTGGATTGGAGTTACATGTATCATTGCCCCATTAAAATTAACACAAACAATTTTTTCATTTAAAAGCTTTTTCGAAGTGGCTGGGTTTTTAGGGGGAATTATAGTTGTTACCTGAGAGACAGGCGGACAGCACTCTTTGTTTCCAGACAAGTGGTAACTTATAACACATGGTATATAAGAAATAGGAACTAGTATGTCTCTGGAGAGAAATTTGACAATTTCTTACGAGAGCCACTAAAACATGCAAACCACTGGTCCTTGCGCTTCCACTTGCAACAATCTACAAAGGGAATAATCAAATGCACAGGGATGGTAGGCACAAGGATGTTCATCACAGCGGTGCTAACAACAGTGAAAAACTGAATGTGGAGCGATTAAGAAATGGTGAAGGAATTCGCTCTAGCAGATGGAAGAAAGCACATGTTGTAATATGTGCCACGCAGTGCCATTTTTTTAAGGCACGGTATGTATATGCACAGAAAAATTTGGAAGGCTACATACAAAATGTTAACAGTGATTATCTTCAGGGGATGGGTTCAGGATTTTTCTTTTCTTTTTCATTTGTGTTTTCTAAGTGAACATGAATTAAATTTTCTAAACTTTTCATTGTGAGATAATTATAGATTCAGATGCAGTTCTAAGAAATAATACAGAGAGATCTGTTGTATCTTTTACCCAGCTTCCCCGTATGGTAGCATCTTGTAAAACTATAGTTCGAGATCATACAACCAGGATTTTGACAAATCGAGACACAGAATTTCCATCACCACGAAAATCCTTCATATTGCCCTTTCATAGGCACATCTAACTTTCTCTCACCACCTCCTGCTCAGACCCCGGGGACAACTAATTTAGTCTCCATTTCTACAATTTTCTCACCTTGAGAATGTTATATAAATGGGATCATACAGTATGTAACTCAGTGGGATTGGCTTCTTTCACTCAGCATAATTCCTTGAGATTCATCTAGATGGTTGTGTGTATCAACAGTCCATCCCTTTTCACGGCTGACTAGCATTCCATAGTGTGGATAGATCAGTGAGTTTAACCACTGACCTGCTGAAGGAAATCGGGTTGTTTCCGGTTATTGGGATCATGCATAAAGCTGCTAGGAAAACCTGTGTACAGGCTTTTGTGTGGACAGTTTTCTTTTTGCTGAGATAAATGCCTGGGGGCACCATTCCTGGGGTAGCTTCATATTTAGTCTTCTTACGAAACTGCTGGACTGTTTTCCATGGAGGCTGGACCATTTTACTTTCCCATCAGCGAGGCATGAGACGTTTCCAGCCATTATTTCTTCGGGTACCTTTTCCGCCCCACCTCTTTTCTCCTCATCTTTCTGGACTCTGAGGACGCATATGTTAAATTTGCTGTTATGACCCCCCCAGGCCTGAGAAGCTCAGTTCATTCCTCTTCAGTCTGTTTTCTCTCTGTGGCTCAGATCGGATCATCTCTATTGTTCCATCTTCCAGGACCCTGGTTCTTCCTTTTGTCTCCTTCATTCTGCTGCTGCGCCCGTCCATTAAGTTGTTAATTTAACTATCTTTGTTATAACTTCTGTTTCTTTGCCGAGAACTATTTTTCATTTGTTTTGAGTGTGTTCCTAATCGCTTTTTAAAGCATTTTTATGCTGGCTGCTTTAAAATCTTAGATAATCCTAACATTTTTGTCATGTCAATAGTGGCATCTATTGTTTTTTTCCATTCAATTGAGACCTTTCTGGGTTTTGACAAAAGATTTTTCAGTTGAAACCTGGACATCTTGGGTATTATATTACGAGACTCTGGGCTTAATCAAACTTTCTGTTTTAGTTGGTTTCCTCTGACCTTGCTCCAGAAGTAGAAAGGACAGCACCGCCTCCTTGCTGCCAGGTGGGGAGTAGAGGTCAAGTTCCCCACTGGGTCTTCTCTGATACCCCAAGGTGGGGTTCCCCTTACTGCTGGGCAGGGATGGGAGTTCTGGCTCCCCACACTACCACGTCCCTGGCTGGGAGGGGTAGGGGTGCCATGCCCCATGTGGCCTCCACTGAGGGAGGGAGGGGTGCTCACTGCCCCACAGGGATGAGTCCCATCTCCCCTCCCCTCTTGGTGTCTCTGACACCACCCTGGTGGGGGCTTTTGGTGCCTTGTCACACGCTGGCGAGAAGGGTAGAATCTGAGCCCCTCAGCTGGCCTTTGCTGGCAGGGGTGCAGCCAGTATTTTCTGGGGCATTTGCTTAGAGTAGAACAGTTATTGCCTAAGAGTTTTCTGTCCTCCAGAACTGCCCCTTTTGTGGTCCTTCAGCTAGAGAGGGCAGGTATTTTGGGGGTCTGCCTGTGCCTATTGGCATTTTGGGTTGTCAGCTTCTTTAGCTGCAACTCTGGGATCAAGAAGGCCAAGAAGAAAACTCAAGCGTGTTGCCACCGTGTCATTCCTCAGGTGCCAAGGTCCCCAACCAGTCTGCCTTCTCTCCGCCTTTTAGAGTCCTCTTATGTTTGCTTTCACATACAATGTCCAGGGTTTTTAGTTGTCTGTATTTATTTTAATAATTTAAGAGCCATTTTAGAAACACCTATAGCAGCCTGGTGTGCTGATCTGAGTCCTGCTGACTGGGCGTGAGGCTGGGGGTACGTTTCATCCTTGTCTGGGTTCGGTCCCATTGAGTTCTGAAATACACTCCTGGTACAAGAGCCCTACTGCCCCCTGATACATGGTGGAAGAGGCAGCCCTCCATCCAAACAGCCCCCTGCCACACTGGCATGCCTAAGATACCCAGCTCCATTTCCCAATAGTCTCCTAAACACAGGGATCGTCAATGGTCCTAATGCTGTAAATTCTGGAGGATGGTCCCTTTGTGGGGATCACCAGCACGGGCGTCCGGGGAAGAGTTGGGCCCCATCAAGAAAGTGAGTCATTACATCAGGTTCTTTCCAGGGATAGCCAACCGGCCACAGAAGACATTCCATGGCCCACCAACTCCCCAGGGTGCCGTGTGCCTGTGACTTTTGTGAATTCTCCCTACTTTTATTTTTCAATTACTTTCCACTAATTGGCCCTTTCTCCTTCCATTCTCTTTGTTCTATGAGTGTGAGTAATTTTTAAGCCCAGAGAAGAACGGTGGAAATTCCCTGGCAGATAATGCTCAATTCTTACAACTTCTGTCATCCTTATTTAGAATTTTTGTGGTGCCTGCAGTTACGGCCCGAGGAACGCCCCGGAGGATGGCTGACTGAGTCCTTCCCAGCATTCATCTTGAAACTGTCTGGCTTCTAACTTACTATATCAGGGATTTCCCTCTCTCTGCTCAAATTCTCCTCCCTCCCCCCAAAATAAACAAACAAACAAAACTTCTCTCCACCTAGGGGAGGAAGGAGGTCATTTCTATATAGCTGGTGGTCAAAAGAGCTCAGGAAGAATTCGGCTGGGCCTTGCAGAGCGTTTGCTGTTCCTTCCTGGAAATTCTGAGGGGGGCTTGAATTCCATATCCTCCTAGTTCAAAAGACCTTGGAGCTGGCCAGCCCCATCAATACAGCAATGACCAAGAACGCCCAGGTTGCTGGGTGGTAGTGGGTCTTCTCAGACTCACTCTGCCTGGGCGATAGCTCCTTGGCACACGTGGAGTGATGTCTGCATGTGAGAGGTGAGGCCTGGGAGTCTGCCCTCAGGGGGCCCCTTGTAACTAGGAAGGCAAGACTAATGGAGTCAAAAGGAGGTGGGCTGATATGAGACTGGACGGCAAGATTGGCTGGGTGGCCTGTAGGAGGGCAGGGAAAAGCCGATGCCATGGAAGCACAGGGCATGGAGCCTCTCTGTCTTTCTTTTCCCTTTTCCTTCTTGATCAAGGCCCTGCTTTGTTCTTTGGCCCATGATTGCTGGGACTGGTCTCTGTGTGCAGGCCAGTCAAGACTCTTCTTCCTATTTTACAGATAAGCCAACTGAGGCTCAGTGGGGTGAAGTCCCTCACCAGAAGGCCTTACGGAGGCTCTCAGGAGTGTGCTCAGCCTGTTAGCTAGTCTACCTCCTGCCTCTCTCCCATTCGTCCTCAGATCCAACCCCCTCAAGAGAGAAAGGCTGAATTACCACTGAGACCTACTGTGGTAACGGCCACATGAGGCTCACATCCTCAACCTGGGAAAGAGCTGTGAGGGCCCTAACCACTGGAATAGAATTGGGGCTGGGCCTTGGTCTCCCAAAATGGAGACCTAGGCTTCCCTGCTCTGGCCATTCACAAATATTTGTCGGCGGTCACTGGCTGAGCTGGCCCAAGCCAGCCCTTCTCCCTTCTGTGTTTCCTGGCCCTGGGTTTCATCAATACCCAACTCCAGGGTCCAGCTGGCCGCTCACCATGAAACCTGTGGGTTTAGGTTTGGCTGGGCTGGGGATAAGTCACTTTTGCTCACATTTACCAGGCAAGGAAACACATTCGGTCTCAGATACATGGATATGCAGATCCAGGTTTTAGAGACATACTAGACATGCAGTTTTGCAGCCCTGTAAGCAAAAAAGGGGGGAGGAAATCCACCTCCCTGACTGCTTATTATGCTCTAATCTCTCTGGGGAAGTTTTCTCTGGTGGCAGTGGTGGGGAGGAATGGCTTAGGAGATAAGATTAATATTCCATTTGTGCTACTGGCAACACCTGCTGTTAGGGAAATAATGCCTTTTTTGTGTGTGTGTGTGAGATTGGAAATTGTCAGTATGCTGTTTCCATCACTCATTTAGTTTATTCTTTCTTCTTTGGGTTCTGAAATCAGATGTCTTGTTTCACTCTAAGGCTGCTCTCTTTTATTAAAAAAAAAAAGAAAAAAAGTTCTCGGAACACCACAGCTGCATTTTGGGAGGTGGGTGTATAGGGAGAATAACTTCAGATTTTGTTTTAAAAGATGATTTTAACAGCAGTCCAAATGCAGACAAACGTCTCTCTGTTCATTTTTTATTTCATAATTGTTCCCAACTAGATATTCTGAGGGCCACTGACTTATTATGGTTCTCTCAATGTCGGACACTTTACCACATAATTTGTAGGTCTGCTTAAAAATTTCTGAAAGCAAAATTCCTAGGGCGAGTGGTTTTAAAACTATGTATGGGCTCATATTTCTTGCCTTCAGGAAAAGTGATGACTGCTTATTCTGGAGCTTAGGCGCCTCCATTCCTGCCCACCTACACACGCCCTGCATGGGGTCCCACCTTCGCTGCTCCAGCCGCTGGGACAAAGCACGAGCTGAGGCGGGCCTAGAGGCTCAGGTGCAGGGGGGCTGCTAAGCTTAGGGTTGGCATGTCAGGCCCGGAAATAAAGCCTGCCATACACGCCCACCCCAGTCTGCAGAATGACTGCAAAGCTTAATGAGGAAAAGCACAGGGGAGACTTATTCCCCTCTTCAGGGACTCGACAGAGGGGGATATGATTTTGGCTTAATAAGGGGACAAGGGTCATAGCGGCCTGTGTTAACTGAGCACCTACTATGTACTCAGGACTGAATTAGATGATGGAAACCCACTGAGTCTGTTCTGCAGGATACTCCTTGTCAGGTCAGTCTGTGAGACTGCAACCAGCTCAGAGCCTGGCTCGGCCACTCATAGTTGTGTGGCTCTGGATGATTTTCCTTCTCTGTGTCTCTGTTCCCCGCTAAGTCGGCGCCCCGCCAGGGTGGCTGTGAGGGTTATGTGCGTGACAGCATGACAGTTTTATGGATGAGAAAACAAAGGTTCCAGGAGGTCGCTTCGATCCTCTTGGGTTGCCACGCTAGTTAGCACCGAGCCTGTACTGGACTCCGATCTGTGTTTCTGCTCTGAAGGCGCCGCCTAAAATACTCTATGGCTGGATGTGACAATTATTTATTTGAGGTCTCGGGGCTCTCTGGAGAACCGGGCCATCACTACAAAGCTTACATAACCGAATCACCCTGTAATTGCCAGGGCCATCACCAACATCGTGGCACCGTACTAGCTGGCTCTCTGAGTGCCAAGCCCACTCCTGCCACTGGGGTCTCCTGACGGTTCTGACGGTTCCATGAGGAGCGTGCCTGTGTGCTTCAGGAACTCCCGCTGCCCCGGACGTTCAGCCAAGTCTGAGACGCTCCCACCCCGACAGATTATGGGACTCTCCTCTTGCTCAGAGTTGGGCCGGAAGTAATTCAAGACAGAAGTAATTCAAGGCAAAAGTTCATGCAAGAAGCTTGGTCTCTCACTGCATGGTTGAAAGTTTTAGAAACCAAATGTTTACCTGGCCAGAGGGATGCTCTGGAATGGAAATGAGTGGGTCTGACTGGTACCTCTGTGCCCTGAAGGCAGAGAAAAGACTCTTCTCAACAACTACAGAATGAATGAACCAATGAATGATGAGAGGAAAGGCTGGTCCGTTTATTGCTTCATTATTTAAACATGTTCTGAGATTCTGCTCTGCCTGGAGGTTAATCAGGCGGCAATGGGCTTGCCCAAGGCAACATCACTCCTGGAACACTCCAGGGGAGCTGGGAATGGGGGGTGACAAAAGCTGTTCAGCTGTCCCTAACGAGTCTCTCAACACCTCTCCGAATCCCCTCTGGGCTTTAAGGCCCAGATCTGCCCAGGAGCCTCCCCAGCCCTCAGGAAGCCCCGCCGTCTCTCCAGACTCCTAGTGTGATTATGGTCTGACTTCCCTAGTCTCTGCCATCAGTAGGCCTTGTGTGTTCCTCCTATATGCCCTTAAAAGCATCCCCTTCCGTCAGAGGGGGCAGAACCTTCTCTAAATCTCCCTCGGGGTCTGGCATGGGGGCTGGACATTCATTCATGCTTCAAGTGAGCCCCACAATGTGCCAGGCCCCGAGGAAACAGCACTGTGCCCCTATGGTGCTTAGGCTCCAATTGGAGAGACAGACACTAATCAAGTAATTACAAAAACATGTATCTGGATACTACCAGGGACAAGAGTCATGAAAAAAAGGAAGCAGAGAGCATCACAGGGGCATCCTCGAGGCAGGATCACCTACTTAATTTGTGGGACCCAGTGCAAAATGAAAGGTGGGCCTCTTCTTCAAACACTATTAAGAATTTCAGAAGTCACACCTGAGCAAACCAAGCATGGCCCTTATGAACATGGATCCCCGTGTCACTGTGCACAGTGTACACCCATGAAGCCAGCCTTGGCCAGAGGGCTGTCCTGAGGAATGGGACTGGACCCAAGATCACAAGGAATAAAAACATATATGAAGCACTAAGTATGTGCCAGTCACGGCTTTCATTCAGCCCTAAGAGGGAGGGGCTGTTGTTAACCCCAATTTACAGAGAGGTCTGTGAGGCAGAGAAAGGTAAGTCTTTGCCTGAGGCCACACAGCTTGCAAGAGGCAGAGCTTGGGTTTGAATTTAGGTAGTCTGGCCTTAGCACGCGTGTCCTCCTCCACCACGTTCTCCCGCTGCACGATTCTGAGGCCCGTTCCGGGGTCCTGAAGGCCCAGGGCAGCCTGCACACCACTGCTGAGCCACGGAAGCCCAAACCCAGAGAACTCCGGGCCTTGGCCAAAGCCAGTGGGAAGGGGCTGTGGGCTGGCAGGGTGGGCTAGATTTGCAGAAACAAAGGTCAAAGACTGAGCCAAGGCCACTGGGAACAAGGAAGCTGAGGCCCGTGGGAGGGGAGGGCTGGGAGGCTCTGGACGGGAGCTCTGCCTCAGGGTTTGGAAATCCGGCCTTCCAGCCTTGGCTCCACTGCGTCTGGGGAAAACCACAGAAGCCACGTGTGGCCCTCGGGTTTCCATCTGTGCTGGGAACAATCCTTTCCCCACCACAGCCTGCTAGCTCCTGTGGCTGGGGCCTGTGGGGCAGGGCTGGGGGTGGGGACGAGTTGTCGGTGGCCCTCTGGCTTCGCTGCTATACCCAGGGGGAAGGAAGGAGGAGCTGCAGGCTTTTGCCACCTTCCTCCATCTTGGGGCAGCACAGAGGCCATGGAGGAATGGCTTTTTGGGGGGTATTAGATGGGGCTCTGAGTCTCGCTCACCTGCCAAGGCATTTCTGAAGCCCTCCTCCAAACCCCACTGACAATCCGGGGCTCTCGGCCTGTCTTGCCCAGCACCAATTTGCTGGGTGGCTTTGGCCAATCACCTGACAACTCACGTGTCCGTAGTCATGCTTGCAGAATGGGAATACTAAGTCCCCACTCAAGGAGTTCCTTTAGGTGGGTTCACGC